CTGCTGTTTCTGTACAACACTGCCGAGAACTGAAAGACACAAAAACAACACTATATTGCATCCTCTATACTCCTGTAGAGACTATTTTTCAGGACAATCCTCTGAAATGTGAAGACTTTCAGATTCCTTTACAGTCATATAGAAACAGTGTCTCCACAGCTCTCATCACCAGGAACTGTACGGTCGCAGGATGGAGCCAACCAAGCCTGCCGTACTACAAAGCCTGTTACTATGAAGCCTATGAGCAAGATGAAGACGTGGGGAAAGAGGTACAGCAGACACAAAGCTTCACTCTGTCCTCCTGAGTTCAGTGTGGATTGTGTTTCACTGTGGTCGACAGCATTTCATGACAAGGCTTCATCCAACCTAAACCACTTTTGCCAGCAGAGAACCAGACATTCGGTTCTTTGTGTCTCTGAGTGAGTGATACATATTTAATGTTTTGCTCCAGAAAAACTACTTTGATACTCTGAGGCTGATCTACAGCGTTGGATACGGAGCGTCTCTGGCTGCTCTGCTCGTCGCTGTTCTGGTTTTCTGCTGTTTCAGGTTGGTTTTCACACAAAAAGACTCCCAATTAAATAACAAAAAATAGCACTTTTTAATCAATTTTATAATCAAATGTCAACAAGCCTGTGAGACATTTTTAACAACCTCCAAGCATGTCAGCGTGACTATTTTCCTCCTTCTTTCAGGAAGCTGCTCTGCACACGCAACTACATCCATCTCAACCTGTTTGTGAGCTTCATACTCAGAAGTCTTGCTGTGTTCATCAAAGATGCAGTGCTGTTTGCAGACAAAAGCATGGACCACTGCACAGCGTCCACGGTAAGGCCGGGCCGGCTGGCACAGCGGGGGGTCGTTATTTTCACGTCATTTGTTGTTCAGGTTATGAAATGTCAAAAACCTCCCAGAGCTTTAAGTGGCATCTTTAAATGTCTTGTCCAAGCAAACGTCTACAACACATATGGTTTATGTTGTTATTAAACCCTCTTAACCTGCAAGAACAGTCAAAGAAAGTTTAATAATGCATAATAGACTGTTTCACAGAGAGAAATCAGTGTGGCGGTTAAAACAAGACTTCCGACAGATGGAAAGACAGCTGTTCACAGTGAATACAGCCTTTGTCATTGCTGATGGAGACATTTCAATGTCTATGTATATCTTCTTTTTTTCACATGGCAGTATGCATTAAGCACAGGTGTAGATCTCAGGAGGGTGCAGGGAACACGTCCCCTTCAATATTAAGAACACATGCATTTGCCTTTATAAAGGAAATGTGAATTTTGTGGTTTCCTTTCCATGGGTAAAGACATTTCAACCATAAATTGATGCATAAAAATTCACCAGAATGCAGGGAATTAGGTGTTTGATGTTCACGATTTCCTGAAAAATGGCTGAGGCTACAACCCCAAATGCTTTAATATCTATATCCCAGATTTATTTAGCTGTCATTCCAACCATGCATTTAATCCCAGGACAACAGGATAATATTATTAATCAAAAATGATAGCAGATTGTGCCCTCTGTGTGTCAATCAAGCACCAGATCTAGTTCACACTACTTGGCACTTGTGCGTTTTGCAAGAGTGTGTGCAAGACAGTCTGTTCTGTGACTTCACATCTTAGAAGCTTTTTCAAAATGAAATAGGGTTAAAGCAGCGGGATGCTGGCCAAGCAGGAGAGGGTGGAGGAAGAGCCATCTCCTGTTGCTGTAGTTAGGCAAGCTCTCATTTGGCTGAACATGGGCACAAATTTCTGTGTTATTTTGTCAGAAATACGGCCTTCAGATTTGCTCTGAATATTACAGGTTATTCATTTTGGTTTATTGTGTCATGGGACTGTATGGGTGAACTTTCTCTTCTCAGCAACACCTGCATCTCTTCTCCTGGATCATATAGGACAGGGGTGTCGAACTCTAGTCCTCAAGGGCCACAATCCTGCATGTTTTAGATGTTTCCTTCTTCCAACACACCTGATTCAAATGATCAGGATCGTTATCAGACTTCTGCAGAGCTTGATGATGAGCTGATCATTTGAATCAGGTGTGTTGGAAGAAGGAAACATCTAAAACATGCAGGATTGCGTCCCTCAAGGACCGGAGTTCGACACCCCTGATATAGGAGCATGTGAGATATACCAATCTACCCCCAGCTGGTGGCTAAAACCAGTAACACTGGTTTGTCAGAAGGCACAGCTTTCCATAGATTACAGCTTTGTAAATCATCATAGGATCGATTAACAGGCCCACAATCTAAGAGGCATTGATCTGCTGAGCCTGCACTCCTTGTGATGGTCGGCTGGCACAGACAAAAAGTAGGATGACCTCACTTTGTAGAAACTGTCACATTTCATATTTATTTTACTCTGCAGTTACTTGAAAATTATGCAATTTAATGTTAAAATCTAAAGACTTCTGAACTGGGTTGAGCCTCCAATGCAGGGGTGTCCAATCCTGGTCCTGGAGGGCCACAGTCCTGCATGTTTTAGATGTTTCCCTCTTCCAACACACCTGATTCAAATGATCAGGATCATTATCAGGCTTCTGCAGAACTTGATGATGAGCCGAAACAGATATAATCACGGTGTCTAACCATAATGCATAACTTTAATCCAAAAAAATGATTTAAATGCAATTGAAAATGCATTAATCCAGTGTTTTGTTTTTTATATGTTCAAGCACATTTTGAAAGAAAATATGCAGATTTGTATTGTATTGCATTCACATTTTACCTGTTTGTACGGTAAAGATTTCCCTTCATGTCCTCACAGCTCCAGTGCAAAGCGGCAGTGACCTTCTTCCACTTCTGTGTTTTATCAAACTTCTCGTGGCTGCTGGTTGAAGGTTTGTACCTGCAGACTCTGCTGCTGCTCACCTTCATCCAGACCAGGAGGCTCCTGTGGATCTACGTCGTCCTCGGCTGGGGTACGTTGTGATTCCTCAGCTTCTGTGTTCACACCGGACTTTATTCTGCCGGTCTGATCCAGGTTCTGATGTTGTAGGTTCTCCGTCACTGACTATTGTGATCTGGGCCCTGCTGAAGACACAGCTAGACGATGAAGGGTAAGAAATGAATCAAACTGTCAGCGGGCACATATTCTATATGTAAATATGATGGAGGGTGTGTTTCTGTGTGTGCAGGTGTTGGGACAACCTGGAGAGCCGCTTGTGGTGGATAATCAAGATTCCCATTCTGCTCTCCATCTTCGTAAGGACAACATATGTCTCAATATCTTCATTTTCCTTTTGTTTAGTCTATAAAATATAAGAATAGGTTTCCTTTCAGACCAAGAAGGACGTCCTCAAATGCCTCGTTTGGTTCACAACCCAAAAATATATCTGTTTTTAAAGTGAATATATGATTCTAAAAACAACAATTTCTAGTTTTTTATTTTCCTGAAAGAGTCACTTATTCATTTTTTTTTTTCTAATTCAGTAATTTATCCTAAAAAAGCTGCTATATAAACTTTACACAGGAGTATTTACAGAATTTCCCTTTAGGGATTGATGAAGTATTTCTATTCTACTGTAAACCATCAGCAGGTATTAAACTACACAACAAACAGCATCTTTGTAGCTGCAGCCACCAGTTGGTCAAATCATATGAACACGTGAGATGATTACAGACAGTAATTTAAAATATATGCATAAAAAGGCTCTTTGAATGTCTCTGTTCATGCACAAAGAACAGTTTAGCATCAACCGTTTGTTTCATGCTCCACAGATAAACCTCTTGATCTTCCTCAACATCAGCAGGATCATTGCTCAGAAGACGAAGGCCACGAATACAAACCAAAGTGAGACACGAGTCTACAGGTATGTTTAAAAATGCACCTGTTTTGTTTTGTTGTCCTGCCTCAGCTTGTCCTCCTCCTGCTAGTTCTACTCACCTGTCCTCTGCTGCCCCCTGCAGGTCACTGGTTCGCTCCACGCTGCTCCTCATCCCCCTCTTCGGCCTTCACTACGTGCTGTTTGCTGTGGTCCCAGAAAATGTCGGCGTGAGGCCTCGACTCTACCTGGAGTTAGTTTTAGGCTCCTTCCAGGTGACAGATCCTTCATAAAAACCAACCAGAACATAAATAGATAAGTTTTTAGGTGTCCTGTGGAATCACATATTAGAGCTGCAGCCAACAAAAATCTTCATCATCAATCCGTCCTTTTTGTCCTAAACTATCAGAAACAAGAAAAACAAAGTCTAATGTGTCATCCTTAGGTGTCTTCTTTTGTTCAGCCAGTGATCTAGAACCCAAACTATTAGTTATAGTGTCAGATATCACAAAAAAAGAACACATTTAAACCTTTTTTTGCATGAAAAATAACTAAAGTGATGCAGAAGTTTTCCTGTTGCTGCAGGGTTTCATCGTTGCCGTGTTGTACTGCTTTCTAAACGGGGAGGTGAGCTCATTTTGCACAGAAACCGTCATCAGAGCCAGATTTGTCCAACTGAACAGCAATAAAAACACAATTCGTTTTCTTCTCAGGTCCAAAAAGAAATCCAGAGGGCGATGAGAAGGTGCTGGCCTGAGACAAAAACCAGCACCATCAATCCACCAACCCAAGAAGACGTTCCCTGATGTCAGAATAAAGAAAACTAACTCACTGATTTCTGCTTCACAGTGTTAAATGTCTGTTCCCAGTAGCTTAAATGTAACATCTGCACACTTTATTTTATTTCAATTTGTTTTAATTTAATTAAATTTCAAATATCTTACTCATTTGTGAAGCTTCATTAATAACATTTCAGACGTCAGACACCTGGAAGGTACTTAGACTCATCTGTTACCACAAACGCACCGAGTCATGCAGATGTTTATGAGATAGAAGATAAAATAGATCAGTATTTGGTGTTTATTCTGTTTATGCTTTATCACTAAATGAATGTGGGTATGTCTGTCACACTTCAGTACGTGAACATGAGATGTTTTGTGATTGTTGGAGGAGTTCAGCACCACTACGAATAAATCATTTTCAAGATTTGCTCATTTGTGTGTTTTCATTTATCAAATTCCAAAAGTACTGTCAACTATTTACGATAACTAAAGTCATACATCTTGTGGAGCAGTTGCCTAATAAACACTTCTTCGTGAGACATCTAGTGGGCAAGGAAGTGTAATTTGCTGCACGTATTTGTTTGGTGTGAGAAAGAAAGAACGATATTACAAAGAAAAACAAAATGGCTGTAAAGAAATAAAAAAAGATAGAAAATGAAACCAAACTGAAAGAGAAATAAAACCAAAACGAATGTGAAACGAACACAACCTGCAAGAAAATAAGCAGAAAACGACACAAAAGCATCATAACAAAATGCAAAATGACCAGAAAGATGCAAAGCAACCGGAAAGACGAACAAATCAACCAGAAACAGACACACCCATTGAAAAAGAGATGCAAAATAGACACAAGACAACTGAGGAGACACAAAATAACTACAAAAGAAACTCAAAGCAAACAGAAGGAGAAGAAAACTGATCACACAGAGACACAAACCAACAAAAAAGATGCAGACAGAATAAATATGTGCAAAATGAACTCAAATACACACAGAAGTGTCAGTAAGAGATGCAAGATGCAAAAAGACCACAAACACAAACCTGGCAACTGATCACAGAGACACAAACCAATAGAAATCAACATGAAAACATGCAACATGATCAGAAAGAGATGCAAAAGGACCATTGCTAAATGCAAAACGATCACAAAAGACTCAAAATAACCACCAAGACTGCAAAACGACAAGACAGCGAAGCAAACTGTTCACATACAACCGCAAACAGATATAAAATGTTTAGAAAGACATGCAAAAGGATCATTATAAGATGTAAAATGAGCACAAAAGGATGCAAAAATGGTTAAATCACTGCAAAACTACACACAACAACAAGAAGGAGAAACAAGCGAATCACAGAGACAAAAACCAACAAAAACAGATGCAGAAAGAGCACAAATACATAAAAAATCGTCACAAAGAGACACAAAAGGATCATCACAAGACACAAAATGTCTGAAAAACAGATTCAGAACAATCAGAAAGCGACACAAAGCACCCGAAAAAGATGCAAAGTGAACACAAATAAATGCCAAATTACTGCAGAGACTCTCTATACCTGCAAAATGACTCAAAAAAACCAGAACGAGAAGCAAACTGATAACAAAGAGACATGCACCAACAAAAAAGGAGACTTAACAAACACTAATGCATGTACAATGGGCACAACAAGATACAAAATAGTGAGAAAGATAACCAGAAAGAGACAAAACCATGAGGAAAGACGTGTAAAATGAACACAAATAAATGTAAAATTACTGCAGAGACACAAACCAACAAAAAGACGCGTAGAAAGAACATAAATACATAAAATGTCCAGAAAGAGACACAACAGAATAACTACAAGTTGCAAAATGCTCAAAAAAGATTAAAAATAATCAGAAAGAGACACAAAGAAACCGGGAAGAGATGCAAACCGGCAAAAAAAGAGACAAATACATGCAAAATGGCTACAAACAAACACCAAAATAACCAAAATCAGAGAAGGAAATGCAAAATAAACACAAACACATGAAACACAACTGCAAAGAGACACAAACCACATGTGTTATTTTGTGTCTCCTTCACTCTGGAGTTTTTGCTCCTTTGCAATATTTATGTGGAGTTTTTACAAGTCTGTGCCCACAGACCTGGAATCTAATAATTCATCCATGATTTTATTATTTCTTCAGCTTCTCTTCCACATTATTTCTGATCTGTGGCTTGTGAAGAGGGAATGTTGTGTTGGCAGCGGCTCCACAGACCCCCGTCAGGGACCTCGGGGGCCCCCAGGTACAAAGAAACAAAGCTCAGGCATGAATGAATCGGCGGAGGAGCTTCAAAGTGGTGAAATGAACTCATGCGCCGATTTATTAGAGGGGTCAGAGTTTGACGAGAGCAGCTTCTGACAAGGAAGAGTTTGGAGGGGGGAAAAAAGTGCAGCGAAGATCATGACTACAAAGCGTTACAGCGCAATAAAAAAAAAGGTGCAAAAGGAGCCCGAGAGACAAAACAACTGCAAAGAGATTAGAAAAAAAGAACTAGAACGATACAGAACTGTTGCAAAATGATTGAAAACATAAGAGACACAAACTAATAGCAACAAAAAAGGGGCACAAAAATAGACACAGAGAAGCAAAACACCTGCAAAAAAAAGTGCAAAATTAAACTAAAATTACCAAAACTACATGCAAATTCTTGTTTGCAAAATGATCCCAAGTAGACAATAAAGGATGAGAAAGTCAGAAATGCAAAGCTAGTACAAATAAGTGATGCAGAGGCACTAAAGAGCTGCAGAGAGACAAAAACCTACAAAAATAAGAGATGTGAAAACCCACCGATGCACAAAATGACTCCAAAATGACCACAAACAGGCACAACAATGACCATGAAAGATGCAAAACAACCAGAAAAAACCCCAGAACTGTTGAGAAAGAGAACAAAACAAAATCAGCACCACCCTCCCCGTCTTCTCCCCTGAATGGTCCGACCCGCTGGTTCACGTGGCGCCCTCCCCCCCCCGTGTGGATGTCCATGTTGTTTCTGCTTTATGAAGTCCAGACTCTTCCAGCTGCACCACTCCAGGGCCCAGACAGGAGAAACTGCACAATGAACGGGACACTGGATGGAAACTGCAACCAGGTTCACCACGACGGATCCTTCATGTTCACCTCCGAGTCTGTGGGAGAAGGACACCCTGGTGAGTGGAGGAGTTCAGGTTGTCATGAGTTCAACGCTTTTTATGTTTCAGTGATCATTGATGACTCTGAGGAATGTGCAGGATCCTGGTCTCTGCTGAGCCGCAGACGGTCTGTAGGGCCACAAGGACTGAGTTCTAGTTTTATTTAATTTAAAGCAGTTTATAAAGATCGTACACTGTCAAAAAGAAAACTTGTGAAGAAAGTTGTGAATCATTTTAGGGTTGATTCAGTTTCCTGCTGTTTTAAAATGATTGATTTTGAGACAAGAAGTTTAATAAATTTCTGAGGTTACACTCAAACAACTTTTCCAGCTGCACTCACAATCACATTTTATTACTTTTATGCTTTTTTAAAAGTTTGAACAGTGAGTTTTTCGTTCACAGCCGCTCCAGTTAGAGTGACTTAGTGCAAATACCTCGTGGGTTAAATTACAAGAAATTATTTAAATAAACCTTTTAAAACATTCTTTTCACAAGTTGTGTTGACATATTAATGCTAATAATTGCACACACTTAATTAATACTGTTTGCAATAGTAACTACAATGTCTGATTTATTTATATTATATATTAAACTGGCTTGATAACAACATTTTCTTCATCTTGAGGTGAGGATATGAAGTCCTCCCTCCTACCAGCTCAAAATTATTTAGTTAAATTTGTCAACTTATAAACTTCTGTCCCTAAATGTGCTTATAATGCATAACACTCCTTATTAATATCATGGAAACACTAGTTGGAACTACTTCATTTTTTATGATTAATAAGCATAAAATGTTGTGTTTATACAACCAATCAGAAGGATAGATTTGTTTTATTTAACTCAACTCAACTCAAACTCTGATGCGCGAATAAAACGTGTTAAAAGTGAGTCAACAGCATTTTGTTTGTTTATTTGTTGTCTTATTTATCTCAGTCGAGCAGAAGCCCCTGAATACTTGAGATGGAAAAAGCCTCAATCATTTTGGAATAACCTGGGGGATTTGTTTTAGAAGAAAGAATCTGCACAGAAAATAAAATAGCATTTTAAATAAGCAGAAAAAAGGTGTTCTCATATGGTATATTTAAACTTCCAAATTAACAGTAAACCCTTAGAATACTATTTATTATACAAATATACCTTTGAATATTAAGTCCTACAATTTTATATATTATACCAAATTTCCAGTTAAATGTTTAAATTAAGGTCAGTAACCCATAAATTTATACAGAAAATCCAATAGATCC